ATCGCCGTCAGAGAATGGTTCGCACGTAGAAGCGCGATAAATGAAGAAACCAGAGTCGTGGCTTGTTCCTGTCGAGAGAGCCATAATGCGCGCTAGTTATGGCACGTGCGCTAGTTGATCGCGCGGCACCTTTATATCGCGGTGGCTCCTTTCGGTGCCAGCGTCGCCCCCCGCCTGCTCTCTCGACCATTATTATTTCACAATGTAATTTCAGTTCTGGCGGACGGAACAGAATGATGAAATATACGCGCAGAGCGCGGCTGGTATTCATCGACGAATAATCGAGCGGGTAATCAGCGGTAATCCCGCTCCCGAAGTGAGGAGGCAACGAAAGAAGAGACTGTTTGTGACACGTGCTGAGACAAAAGAGGAACACTTCACGCGACACTGAGAGCATCATTATTTCCTTTAAACGACGTGCTATTCAAGTTTTACGATACGCAATGTAGAGCTGCTGCCTCTCCTCGTTGCGTTGTCTCTCAGGCGCGACCACTCAGGCAAGTCAACGCCTGTCACAATCTTGCGGATGAGAGAGAGAGAGAGAGAGAGAGAGAGAGAGAGAGAGAGTGATCTATAAAAAAGCCCGCGCGAATTTTTGGCACGACTCCTCGCTGGCGTCTGTTCCTTAACCTCGGTGCTGAAAGATGGTCGCGAAAGCAGGGATCCTTCGACCGATCGAGAGATGTCGCGGCCTAGAAAAAGCCACGGCGAAAGCTGATACACATTGGCCCGGCTGCGTCTCGGGCCATTGGCCGTACTATGTCGGGCGCGGTTCAGTGACCGCGCGTGCAAGTTCGGCGCGAGAGCCATTAGAGATAGCCAGGTGATTTCGATAGCGAGCGTCGATGGCCAATAACGTGGTGTCGTAGCGAGCGCGCGACTTTCAGCCGAGGGATATTCGAGAGCTTTTCCACGCGCGGTCGGTGACAGATTACCAGAGTCGGTGTCGCGCGACGCGACGTGACGAATAGCCGCAGTCGGGATTACAAAGCCCTCGCGCAACTCGCGGGACTATATCTCATGTTAAATAATGTGAAGAAAGTGGAAGCTCGCAGGAGCTTTGTACCAAGGACGTATGGAAAGTACGTGGAAAGTGTGAGATGCACGCGCGAAGGAACTCGGATAATGCGGCCGCGCTGAAAGAATGGCGCGCTGTCGAGCGGTCGGGCAGGGAAATGAATGAAAACAGAGAAGTATAGGAAAATGGCTCGTTCGAGAAGGCTTGTTCGCATCGTGGAAACGCGCGCGTGCATTTATGTTGCGTTCATGTGCTACGACGCGCACTTTGAGCGCGTCTACACCGCGTCAGTCCTTTCACCGCGGCAGGTGTCTACATACGCAATAACGTAGGCGGACATATACATGCAAAAATTGCAGGGCATTGCGTTCTACCGCGCGAAACGAGGTAGGCTTTCGTGCAATGCGACGCGACGCGACGCTACGCGACGCGACATGTTGTTGCGGCGCACGACGTGGAAATGCCAAGTGCAGGAATGCAATATGCGCTTTTCCACACGCACGACCGATCGCCCTCGAGGCGCGCGATGACGTCTTTTGCTAAACGTTTTGTCTCTTGTGGATCGGTTAATGAGTGTGTGTGTGTGTGTGTATGCATGAAAGAGAGAGAGAGAGAGAGAGAGAGAGAGAGAGAAAAAAGTTAGATTCAAAAGATGGAAGAGGAAGAGGAAAGAGTGCGACAAGTTCTTTTCAAAGAAAAAGCGCTCATTGAACATATTGTATAAAATAATTAGACTACACTTCCACCCATTTCTCTCTGTGTAATTAAAGATTTTCCCATGATTCGTCAAGTGTCACATAATTGTTATGACCAGACGAAAGAAAGACTCTGAGGAAGTAATACCTCGGTTTCGCTGCAAGCAACATTTCATTGAAGGGGATTGCGTTGAAGTTTGCGTGCGTTGAACGCAGACGGAACTGTAATATGAAAGATCGTTCTCGCGGGAAAGATCAAACTCTTCGGAGAGAAATCTAAATCTCTCGCGGTTTCGACTCCTCGTAATATTTACAGTGGCCGATCGCGAAAGAAAGCACCGCGCGCTCACTCTCGGCATTTCGAGCGCTGCGTGCGGAGAGCGGCTTCTGGATTTCTTTTCGCCTGATCGTCGCGCGGGGCGAGCGCTGCGTGCGGGGCACCAGTTATCCTTGAGTTCGATCCCCTTGCGATTCGATTGGATCACGAGTGTGCGTGACCGCGGGCGTGCGCGAGCGCGAATTCATGCGTGCGATTAGATTGATATGTGCCGAGAGCGTGTGTAACGCGATTCGAGCGTAATCGCGTATAGTCGGCCGGCCAGAGACGTCCCTGCAATTTGCGTAACTGTCTCCTCTCCTCCCTTGAGGTGAATTCAGTTAAAACATCGGGTATTGCTACTATACCAATACCAATACCAATACCAATACCAATGCCTATACCTATACCTATACCTATACGGATATCTCGCTTCGGTCGCTTTGTCGATCGCGCAATGGCATAATTGCGCGCAATTTAAAAATGGTGGTTGATGTTAATTTTCGCAGGCCGCCGATAACGATGACGAAACGAGTCCGCGTTCGAGCGCGTTAGCCGGCAGGTCGGATCGAGTGTCTGCGACACTGGTGGAAAACGAAATGTTCGTCGGCTCGGCGTAATCGAGCGGTTTCGCTAATTAGGGCGCGTAACGAGCGTCGTGCAATTAAGCCGCGCGATAAAATTAAAGGAGGAGGTTACGGCGCGACAGCTCCAGCTATTCCTAGGACCACCACTCCTCTCCTCGTCTCACCCGGCTGTAAACTATTCCGCTCGTTTTCCAGCCGGTATTAAATAGCGAGACGAAGCGAGACAAGGCAAAGGCGTCCTTCGACCACGGCGAAAGAGAGGCTCGCTCTCTCTCTCTCTCTCTCTCTCTCTCCGCGGCGCGGCGAGTTCACCTCGAAAATTTAGCGCTCGTTTGTTTGTCCCATGATAAATGGCGCTTCCCCTCTGCGAAATTGCTTTTTGCCATTTACGCTTGTCTACCTGCGTCGCGACACATCGCGTGCGCGACTTCCGCGATGCGCGACAGATCGAGCGTCGCGCTGATACGCGATGGAAACGGAACGTCAATCCGAGCGCGACGCCAAACCCGACGACGTGAGCTCTCACGGGCAAAGGTCATTGAAACGCGACTGCCAGCCGCACCTCTCCGTCCCGTCCCATCGTCGTGTCGCATCGTCATTTTCGCAGTCAAAACCGTCACGCATGAGATGCGTCATTCCGTCTGGCGAGAGTGCGCGAGTTCGCTGCAGGTTTACGTAATTAGTACGGCACTCAATCGCTATTCCCAGTGCAACGAATATCAAGGATCCGCGTAGCGAGATTTCTAAACGCTCACGAGGATGCTCGATTGTCGCGGAAATTGAATTCTCACGGGCGTATGTGATATAAAGTATGTAATACAAAGCGACCAGCGAAACGCAAATGACATATTAGTCATGCTACGGCGTGATTGACGTCACACGTCCAGATTGATGAAGCTCCTCGTTGCGGAAATACCGGCGTAGATAGATACACTCTGCTCGACTGCAGGCTATCAGGAACGAGTGCGCATCGATTGCACACACACACACACACACATTCGATCCTTAATCATCCTCTGAATTTTTTACGGATCTATAAAAGTTCTACGTCTACGCGACCGTCGCGTCTAGGCCGGTCTAGGCTCTCAACGTCCCCCAAGAAAATAATGCTGTCCATGAAAAAATTGTCTCCATCGTGTGGCTCAAAAATATATCCGGAAAATCCGAGGTGAAGTATTCTTTTCGTGTCATCTGCGTCATCTCCGAGATAAACAAAGATCTTCACAGTGAAGTAATATCAAAGTTCCACTTGACGCTGTAGTGTTAGCCTTCAGCGTTCAGTACCGATATCAAGCGCAGAAGAAAATTGCGAGAGGACGGAGGGGGAGAAAGAAAGGAACGCACAGGAGATGCGCGAGCCGAGGCTGAAAGATGGAGGTAATAAGAGGAGCGAACGTCATTTCCGACCGCTGCAAATCTCGAGCTTTATGAAGCGTGGAATGAACCTAACCTTCGTAAATGTACCTTCATGAACTTGCTCGCTGAAAACACTCGAGGAGAGAAACGTTGATGGTGCGCTGATTGTGACGTGCGATTTATTCTGCTAATCGTGAAATTTCTAACTCTTATCGGTCACACTCACCACCGGGTGGTCCTTGTTCTTACGAGCGAGCATCGATTTACACAATTTGCTTTCCCTTCGATGCAACGATGCCGAACGCGCGTTAGACGTTAGATTGTATGGTAAAAGGAACAAAAACGTACGGGATTAGCATATTCTTCAATCCATTTGCGGTAACGAGAGCGCGCGAGCGAAAAAAAGTGATTCACCTTGGAAGCAAATCTTTTCCTCATTTTAACCGATAGCGTTTACGACGATAGCGAGCTGTTTCGTAAGGTCTGTGTGTTAAAAACTTCAGGGACATTCTCTATCTCGATAATCTAACAACGATGGCTTCTCAGGCAGAGTCTCTAGTTAAATGTCGTCTTGCTCTCTTCCGAGAGTTTTAAACCGTCAACATCTCGTTGAATTTGATCGTAGATTAGTTTAGTTGTTCGACAAGAGTTCGATCAAAGTGGCACACCTTTCGCTTCGAAGCTTCGAGTCGAAGAGTCTTTAGCCGCTTCAAACGATTGGAAGATTATCTATTAACATTCTCAACTCTCAATTACTCGACACGGACAACTCCAGATTGAGAGGATGAAGATTGAATTCTTTTCGATAAAGAACGCTCATTCGCAGCTCGATCTCCAGCTGAAAGAAATCGCGAACAATGACGTACGGTGTCGCAGCCGTTCGTTCCGCGTGCTCGCGCCAGCCGACGTTAGGCCTCGCCTCTGGATGCATGGTATCGCAGATACCATGATGACACGAGTACAGCACGCGCCGCAAGTAAGCGTAAACGTTACATTTGACGTTGAAACAACACTGGGAGTCGACGTACCGAGAGGCGAAGACCGTTTCCAGCATGGCTGGTAGCCCTCTCGAGCGGCTGGTGGGCGGACGGGTGGTTTCCCATTTCTCTCTCTCTCTCTCGGACGGTGATGTTTTCACGAAGAGCAGTACCGTCCGCGTCAAGTATCCAAACAGAAGAGAGAACGAGTCGTTGATAGTACCACGTATCCTTTGCTGCACCATACACGGTGACACTAACGTTAGTTAGCCAACAACGTCCACGCGACGCAGGTGTGGTGAGCCCGACGTAACGCTCCTCTACCTCTCTCGCGCGCGCGCGCGCGAAGAGAGCCGCAGGAGCTGCAGGAGTGCAGTTTCTCTCCCGATGAACCAAAGGAGGAGGAGGTGCTTCTTTCTCTCTATCGCGTTCACTCTTTCTCAAAGCGTGCACTGTAAACTCTCGACGTCTACTCGCGGTCTACACTGGGGCGACAGTCGTCGTCGACAGTTGATCGCTGCTTCCGATCGCTTTCCGACACCTCACCTCACCTCACCTCACTGCGTTGTAGAAACCTCACTGCAAATCTCGCGCAGTGATTCCTTCGGATTATTTCATATTATGTCAGCGCGCTCGAGTGACGTGCACATTTCCGAAAGAGAAGCGACAATGGACGCGTACTCGTCACGGGTTTCTCTCGATCGAGGACAGTACCGTGAAACGAAACCGGTCCGGTCCTACGCGCGAAACACTCGCGTTGCACCGTCACTGATACCGCGAGCGTCGAGAGGCACCAGCTAGGTAGCGCAGCTATAGGCTTCCTCTCTCGCCGCCACCAGCTCCGAAACGTTCCGCGCTGGAACGAGCACTCCGCTCGCGCGCGTAGAGATCGTCAGCGATCGACGGGCCAGGGTAATTTTAGTCCGGTACGACGGCCACACTGAATGGGTGCCACGAAGAGAGAAAGAGAGAGCGAGAGAGCGAGAGCGAGAGCGAGAGAGAGAGAGAGAGAGAGAGAGAGAGAGAGAGAGAGGTAGGGGCAAGCGCTGCTACTACTACTGCTGATGAATGTCGTGGTGCGCGAATGACATGGCGGCGCGAAATGCTCCCGCAGCCGGCCGGTAAAAACGTAGTCAGATGGACATGAGAGAGGAGAAACTCTTGCCTTCTCCTCCTCCTCCTCCTACTCCTCCTCCTTCTCTTCGTCCTCCTCTTCTTCTTCTTCTTCTTCTTCTTCTTCTTCTGCCGCTTCTTTTTCTTCGCTTCTACTTAGCAGCAGCGGACGTACCGAACTGGTCGTACAACTTGTCCCAGGCTGACGTCACAAATTCTACCTAGAAGAGTGGGATCCCGATCAGTCTCTCTCTCCGTTTCTGGTCTCGCGGCGTGTCCTACCTCTCTCCGAGCACTTCGCTCCGTCTCGTTTCAGCCCACAAGCTCGCAAACACCGCGAGCATCTCGCGGGCACAACAGTGGGGAGTCGCGATATTCCGCTGCAGGCCAGACTGTGGTCGCACAATGCAGTCGGCTTTGCCTTCCTTACGCGATGATGCCTCGCAGACTCCTTCGGTTTTGTTATTTTTAAACGATGACTGCTCGTGTCCTCGATACGTCCGTCATCACCGGGAGGATCGCGAACTTCGTGCTCTTTTCGTGCACCAGCGGATCTCTCTTGCCATCTCGTTCTCGGATGATGTTCCCTCGTGATGATGCTCGTTCCTCCGCGACAACCGCGGGCGAAGAGAGGGCGAGCGAAAGCTCTGACGCGAATTTCCCAACTTGCTCTCGCCAGCCGCAGGATTCGCGGTGCGAATCGCACAAGCTGTGTGTGAACGCAGGAAGACTCAACCTTGCTCGAAGGAACGGAGAATCGCTCGCGAGAGACCCCGAAACTATTCCAATCTTCGTTGAACTTTCGAGGCAGGTGTTGGAGCACTCTGCTCGAACAAATGAGCTTTTCCGAGCCGTAAAACCTCTGCTTCGAGGAACACCACCGATATGCACTCAATTAAACTAACTTCCGTGCTCTCTCTCCCCTTGATGTACCAATTAATACAATTATGACGAGAAGTGACCCAGCTGGCGTACGGCCTTATGAACTCGTTCTCTCGCGAGCTCCCTTATCGCGGTGCCTTCCGCAGTTTAATCGATACTACGTTTTGCCAGTGCGGCAAAACCGGAAGCCTCGTTCCGATTCCTCCTCCTCCTAATTGAATAGCTGTTGAATGCTTCCGATGAGACGATCAAGATATCGGTCGTGCGCTACGAACGTGGGTCTCAGCTTCTTCCATCCGCATTTCTTCTCACTGTTCCCTTTTCCCTCTGTCTCCTAGTGCTTGTGTCCTCTCGTTGTTCCTCCGATGTTCCGTTGTATTTGCGACACTACTCTCTCTCTCTCTCTCTCTCTTTCTCTCTCTCTCTCCCTCTCTCTCTCTCTCTCTGTCTTTTTTATTTTGTGCTCTTTGTACTCCTCCTTCTTGATCTCGCGCGAGACTAACGCGCGCGAGATATCCAGCTCGCGAGATGGAACTTTTCCGCGGACAGAAGAGAAATATTTGTCGCAAAGTGTATAATACGATTATCCTCGAGTCCGTTTAGCGCGCGCCGACTAATGGAGCGGTGGAGTGCTGTCGCACGACGCACGTTCCCACGTTTTTCCGTTAGCGCCGTCGCCGTCACGCTCAGCTACTTCCGGCGACCCCACCGGAACTCGAAAGTACGTTTGATCTGTTGCACGAGAAATCCAGCCATCGGACGGTTTCGAGAATGATTCCCCGAAGAATCATCCGTCTACTCGTGCTGCCACGAAGAGAGACTTATTTTCGTGAAGCGAAAATATATGAGAGGCACGTTCGAGCACGTCACAACCAAGTTCGATGACTCACGGTAATGGCAGCAAAACAGACAGAGAAATCAGCTATAACGGTTGAAGCTATAGCGCAACAGCTCGGAAAAACCACTGGGAAAATGGAATTTGGCAGATAATTCGACACGCAATTGCGGTATACGATGACTTTCGAATGGAACCTCAACGTTTTCACGAACTGATACACGCGCCATCTGCCATTCCATTCCACTCACAAGCGACACAGGTAGAGAATCAACGGTACAACTTCACAAGAGAGAAACAGAGAGAGAGAGGGAGAGAGGGAGGGAGAGAGAGAGAGAGAGAGAGAGAGAGAGAAAAAGAGAGAGAGAGAGAGAGAGAGTAAAAGAGAAAGAGAGAGAGAGAGAGAGAGAGAGAGTAAGAGAGAGGAGGAGGAGGAGGGAGGGAGAAAGAGAGAAACACACTTGTCAATAAAATTCAGCCGCGAGTCTGGAAGAAGCGCACATCGTCCTTCCGTCGCGACGGTGAGGAACGACGGGACGCAACATCGCAAACTTTCACCGAACGATGTGCGGTAAGAATGAGGCCCGACGACAAGAATTTGTTGGAGGGTATAGTGACGAGCACAAACGAGCTCAACGGATATACAACCCCCCCTTGAAAGACTACGGACGCGAATGCCGAAGGTCCAACAGGCCCAGGTCTTTCCACCCCACTCTGTTGCTTGTCAGGGACGGACTTAGCGGACCAAGTGCCACAGATCCATTCCTTTAAAATAATTTTATCAAATAATTATAATATTTCGCACGTATCGCACGCTCCTGAAGTGATTAATCGCATCATAAATTCGGTCTGACCGGTCGAAGAGCCTGCGGGGGGTCATTAGTAGTTCCCGGAGCGATTCAAAACGCGCGTAATTCGAGAAAAGCCAACAATTTCTCTCTTGCATCATGAAATTCTAGCGTCGATTGGACAGACGCATCAAATCTGTATCAAGAACGAAATTTGAACGAAATTCCAAATCTCTAGTCCTCTCTCAGTTTAAAAAATTTTTATATTTGCTTGTAAAAGAATCTTTTATATTTTCCTCCTTGATGACAAATCCGTCCAAAGTGTCCGTGACGTTTTTCGCAGTCACGTTTTATTCGCGTGTACATGATAAACCGAGATCAAAGTAGCATCTTACAAGCAGCAACATTTAGGATGTAAATATTCCGCGAACACGCGAGAAAATCCTGTTTGAGAACAGCCGAATAAAAATCAGTTTCCCTCCTCTTCTCTTCAACGTGAATACCTCGGCTTGAGTCAGGCCCAGGTTACTTCCTTCTCCGTACCTTGTAGATCTCAGGGGTATAGCTAGCCGCGACGGCACCACCGACCATCGCCTTCCGCTCAAGATCCAATCACGCGAGGAACCGGTTCCTCGCGTGATTACACCTTCCGAAGAGGACGCGCGAGCACGCGGTGGTTCTCGAGCTAGGTCGGAGAAATCTCACGTTGAGAGAGAGAGAGAGAGAGAGAGCGGATCGGCGATCGATGCCTGCGATCGATGCCTCGCAGTCAACGTTAGGCTACCGCGCTCGAGATGATGAGGTGATGGAGAGTTCGCGTTAGGTCAGTTCGAGGTGAAGAGCCGGGGTGGATATATGAGGTTTACGGCGGTGAGAGCAGCAGCTGCCACGGCAAATGGTCGTACATCTGCTGAGACACGATAGAGAGAGAGGTTCACGGTGGAGCCCAAATGCGCCTCTCCGCTCGGAAAGCCCTTTCGCAAGATAGAACCTTTTTTCGCATTTCATCAAACACGACGGATCGATGAAAATCGACGGAAAAATTGTATTTCTCCCTCGTTAAAGATCCCCCCCTCCCCCCCCCCTTCGATACGGTGAATCATTATCTCTCATAGCTGCCATTACGTTATCGTCTTATCGTAAGAGCTTTATTGGGGAACATAAAGAAGTTTTCGAAATTAGAACACAAATTCTAGGAAAGTTCAAATATTATTTTTATCAAAATTGAATTTTTTAAATTTCACCGCTTCAAAGAGAGGATAAACTGTGCTAGGTACTAAATGTTTTCTTAGACTGGTCTAGTAATGGGATAAATTAATTAATTGCGTTTAATGAGACGAAAAGAGAAATATTAATTCAGCCATGAATGATTACACTTCATGCTGTTCCGTATATTTTTAAGCAGATTATTTAGGATAGCATCGGTGTTCTTATCAAGTTTAAGCGAAATTTGATTAATCTTGCTTCAATTAAGCAAGACGTGTATGACGCAACTGAGTGCAACCAAGATTCAACGGGGATGAAATCCTTAATGATGCGCGCCTTTGCCTCCTTTTCCGAGCAGCTGCGTTACGTGGATTTACTTTCCGCGTTTTTCAGAGCGTGCGAGGAGAATGAC